TAACTTGCATCCTAATAAAGACACTGGGGACCCTTTTACCTAAGCAGTAGAGACACCTAGACACGAGCAATATGATGAGGTCCTCATGAGAAACAATGGATAGAAACAAAATGAGCTAGAAGAGATACGATTCTTAGAGATGCCCCCAAGACTTAACTTTGAGTTCAGTCCCATGTTAGGCCATGAATTACACATAAAAACATACACAGACTTACACATATATCCCTAGTATTAGAATAAGGTTCAGGCCAGAATCTTCATATAGCTAGCGTGCAAGTGAAAAACATATCATTATTCTTCAAGTAGCTGAGAAAAAACACGATGCAAAGAAAAGAAGATGAGATATAAAATCCAAAGATCTTATTGGTTGTGTCCCTTTTATGTACTCAAATTCTCAAATGGATCTGTGATTTCATCCATGTAAGTATTCTTTCATGCAGATTATAACCCATTCATGCCTGCCCATACTGTGTGATTCTTATCGATGTCTTCAGATAGATTTACCTCAGCAGAAAGATGGACAAGGGCCAGATATCCACTTAAAATGCTAGGGACTCTTCTCTCTTCCTCATTTTCTCTTTACATATCAAGGCTACCATGTGCACTAGCCTTGAACATAGCAGGAATTTATTTTTTATTAAACTGAATTGAATTGTGTGACCTTGGGCAAGTCAATTAAGCTCTCTGAGACTTAGCTTTCTCATCTCTAAGATAGTATAATGCCTGCCCTCTACCTCACAGTGTTCTTGTGAGGATCAAATACATAATATATCTGAAAATATTCTATAAACTCTAAGTACTACATAGAAGTATCATCATTAGCATTAGTGGTGGCTGTTTTTTTGGTTTTCTTTGAATGGTGTAGAATCATTACCTACCTCTCCCCACTCCCTCATTCCCAGTTGCTTAGGACAGTTGGCCTAAGCACCAGGCATTAAGTAAATGACATTTCTTAGAATACAAATGACTAAATAACAAATGCTCAAGACATTAATATATCTGAAAAAAATAGAATCTCAATTCACAGTGCTCTCAAACAAAAATTTATTATGGAAAGTTATTTCTAGTCTTTACAGATATTATGTATCAAAGTAAATTCTTCTAAAAGCATGTATAAAAATTGGACTGAACATCAGATGAAGATGTGTGTGTTCTTTTACATTAACAGTGACGGAGTGTAGGTTTGTGTATAGTAGAGAGGCAACCCCTAAGAGATTTGCTCAACCAATTAAATAATGACAGCAAAAAGAGGATACCATTAAAAACTCTTTTCTCTTGAAAAAGACTAGGGATGAAAGGAAGATTATTTACTGCAGAAAGTACTCCCTCTTCTTAGAAAGCCACAATACTTTGCCTCTCTCTATATTATGATAGTACATTCTACTTGGTACCAGAGGGATATGGGATATAAACATATTTTTAAACAAATATTTTAAACAAATATTAAACATATCATATGTGTGTGTGTGTGTGTGTGCATGTGTGCATCTTATTTAAACATCTAGGTGGTACAGTGGATAGCACTCCAGGCCCAGAGTCAAGAAGACCTGAGTTCAAATCCTGCCTCAACAACTCACTATGCCACACAGAACAAGTCACTTAATTCCTGTTCGCCTCAGTTTCCTTGTCTATAAAATGAAGATAATAATATTACCTCCCTCCCAGGGCTGTTATGATGATCAAATGAAATAACATTTTTAAAGCCCTTAGCCTCTGGCATACAGTAAGTGCCATATAAATGTTAGCTATTATTATTATTATCATCACTGTTATTAGCTTTTTAAGGGTCTCTTTCATCCTTGTGCTAGCATAGTACCTTGTGCTAGCATAGCACCCCACAAATATTTATTAAATGAAGTGATTTAAACATATATAAAAAAAAGAAAAATTACGAGGAGTCAGATGACATACATCAAATGTAAAAATGACCTTTTCTAAGTTGTCTAAAACTTTAAATGTAAATGAATAAGATTCTAAAAATTCATTGTAGAAGAAATAACACAAACCATAAAGAAGAACATAACACAAACCATAAAGAAGAACAGACTGGTTGACTGACCAACTGAAAAATGGTCAAAGGCTATGAACAAATAGTTCTTTAAAAAAAAAAAGGATTTGCAAACTATTAACAATCTCATGAAAGACTGCTCTAAAACACTAACAAGAGAAATGTAAACTGAGACAACCCTGAAAGCTTCACCCTACAATCAGCAAATTGATTAAAATTATTAGGATGGAAATAGTGATTGTTGGAAGGACTGTGGGAAGGTAGGTACACTAATAACTGTTGGTGAGGCCGTGAATTGGTTTAACTATGTAAGAAAACAATTTGAAATAAGGAAAAAGTGATCAAAGTATCTATTCCCTTTTAACCCAGAGATTTCACTACTAGGAATATACACCCAAGGAGTCCTAGAGAAAAAAGATCTATCATAAACTAAAATATATATAGTAGTACTTTTTTGTGATAGAAAAGAAATGGAAACAAAGTGATAGACATTGATTATGAAGTAGTTATACAAATTGTGGTACATGAGTATAACTGAATATTATTTTTCCAGAAGAAACAATTAATCTGAAGAATTCAGAGAAATATGAGAAGACTTGCTATGTTACAAAGTAAATGTTATGAAGTAAAACCAACAGATATAGGAAAACTAAACATAATGGCTAAAAAAATGTAAGCAAAAAGAAAATTAAAGATGTATAATTATAATAACTACTGTTGGTCCCAAAGAAGAGATATAGAAATGCATTTCCCTCCTTTTGTTGGAGAAGTTGGAACTTTGGGTATGCAGTATTATATATTATTTCAAATATGATTAATATTTCAGTTAGTTTTGTTTATTTATTTTTTTTCTTTTTTGCAAAGGAAGGCTCACCAGATAGAAGAGAAAAAAAGAATATACTTAGAAATGAATGTGAGGGAAAAAAACCCAAAAGGTATGAACAAAATTTAAAAAATAAACTGGCTGTGACTCAAAGAAGTAAAGAGATTCATTTCAATTTTCTTATTTTGTTTTTGGGAAATTAATGTTCAAACTCTCCCTCAGCATTTTATTTAGAAAAGTGAATAGAATTCTTCCTGCCTGTGACTCAGTTACTCCATACAGATTTACTTAATCTTCATTTCTTAAAACAAAACAAAACAAAACACTTTCCCTAGATTTTTACATGATTCCCTTTTTAAACGATTCCTTTTTTGTTGCTCTACTTTCTTCACAAATCAAAATGTCTGGCTTATGCTTTAAATAATACATTCACCAATCTCTCAGAAAGAAGTGATTTTTTTTATATTACTCTAAGAATGTCCCATTAAGATGATTTTTCATTATGTAGCATTACAGCAGAAGTTAATTGGGTGTCATATTAACTATGGCAACTATTTTTGGGGGAAGAGAGGTAAAATCATCATATCTATTCAAATATATGTATATATTAAACACATACTTAATCCTCCTCAAGAAGAAGTTACATATTAAAAATTTTTCCAGCTATAATGACAGATATACTTCCTTGGTTTACAAAACATTGTCTTGAAATTCTAAAAAAATTGTTTTCATTACATTTTAATGGTGTACTATATTATTTTCTAAATAAAGAAATATCATTTGATTTTGGAAAAAAAGATAAACTATGAATTACTACCCTTTCATTAAATAAATTATTCTCTATAATATAACAAGTTTCTAACAGGAATACAAAACATTGAAACCATATTAACTCAAATGTTGCATCTCTAAATTATTAGTAGCACTTTAACCTTACAGATAAAATTTTTTTACAACATTAAGTGACTGAATTAATTTAAGAAAATCTAAAATTAAAATACGCTGTCTACTTATGCAAAATATAATGCCCTTTTCCCTTTTAAGTTCAAGTGACTTAAAAGTACAAATAATTACAATTCAGCTGTATATGTAACCATTAGCACATACAAACATGCTGCAGAAATCCATATGGTATCATTACAGTAAAGAGATGCTAAAAAAAAAGCCAAATAGCTTATTTTCTATCAGTTCCTTAGCATTTCTTTTGCAATGACAGCCAATATATTCTAGACAAGGTTTTTGAAAATCCAAAACCGAATTTTTGAATTAAGATGTATCAGAGATATGTCTTAGTCTTTTAGTTAATTACATAATCTAGTGCAGTAGCTTTAATGGATGACTTTAAGAAAAACATTTCAAAGACACAACCAAGATCTTAGAGAGCAAATGAAAGGAACAGCAAGACTCTGACCCCCCATCCCTTCTCTCCTCCTTCCCCTTTCATTTTCTTTTAACCCTTTTTTGGGTTCTTTCCCCCCTTACTTGTTCCCTTTCCAACATCTGATAACAGCTACCTTCCTAATATTCCCTTAAATACTCCTAAAAGAATATGTCACATTCCACTCAATAATCAGCTGCAAATTGTATTGAAAATAAATGTACCATGAATTAGTAGCTGTCATCTTAGAAAGAGACATGTTACTATATTCTGTATCATCTCTATGGAGCTACACACAGGACAAAGACAGCTTTACAGAATGAAAATGTTATTGAGAATTATAATCCTAATAAAAATGACATATCTAACCTTTCATTTTCACAGAAATTAAAAATTGGATCATATAGTTTTCTTATGACTGTAAAATGTAATAGCATGGTACAAATTTAAAGTATCTACATATAAAAATGCTACTATAAAATTTCAAGGCATTGACAAATCTAAGTTAATTATGGACATGAGTTATATGAAATATATAAAGATATTTCAAAACATGCATGCTGTATATAAAAATTATTAAATAAGTGAATGTACTACCTGCTTCTTTTATAATTTTATAGGGAAATATAAATTTTTAATGCCATATTCATTTGTCCTATCAAAAAGCTATATGTTTTTATCAACATATTTCTGTTTTTTCTATAAACATATATATTAAATAATAAATACTAAAGTATTTTAAACATTAGCAAAGAAATAGCAACTTTTAACATAAGAAAATAATCATTAACCTGCATGAACTGGTATCAGATTCATTTTCTTCTTCACTAGTTCCATCATCTACTTCTGGTCTATCAAGCCAATGTGCACCTTCACAATCTTCAGTGGTAAACTCGAACGCAGGGACTTCAGAGGTAGATGCCATTGGCCAAGAAGGTGAATTCTGAAAATCTAGTTGGCTGGACCTTCGGTAACCAATTGAAGCCAATGGTAACTGCAGGCTACGTGGATCTAAAAACTTTCTATCACCATTTGTTCCGGTTTGTCCTCGATTCCAGAAATCTCCCTGCTGGCTGTCAATGGTAGAATTAGGAGATGATGCCTGATGGCCAAACCATCTCCATCTGATTTTTAAAATCTGCTTCACATCAAACTCTTTACGAGAACCAGACATCCTCAGAAAAAGCAAATGATCGTCTAGGCAACAGGACAAGAAGCACTGCACATAAAAGAAGATTTGTGCATCCAACCAAGACAAGAAAAGCACATGCTCTGCTGTCTACCGCAAGCAAATCTGGAGGAAAACAAATTTCATTCACACATGAATTTGAATTTGCTTTCATAACACTATGTCAAGCTACAAAGAACAAAGGATAATGAGAAAAAGAAGAGAAAGAGAGAGAAGGTAGGGCAGTCCCAATCAGTCAAAGAAAACTCTCCTTAGCCTATACAGAAATAGCCAGAGAATTTTCTATTACTCTCCTTTTCAGTACTGACCATTAGCTTCCACAAACACTGACAGCATTCATTAAAGTCCTTTCAAATGCAGAACACCAGCTCCCTTTCTTAAACCACAGAGACAGAGAGCACAATTCCTATGATGTATCTCAATCTCTACAGCTTACTCTGTTAACTCTTTTATTGCTGACACAGGAAATTTATTTGACAGTAATTTCCTTTACACTAACAAATATCTTACACAAAGGCATAGTATTTCAAAATACTTTCAGATAATAGAATTTAAATCTGGCAGGTACCTTGGAGATCTAGTCTAACGCCTTTACTTTACAGACAAAGAAACTGAGGCCCATAAAGGTTGTGACTTCTTTTTAAAAAATCATCATCATCATCATCATCATCATCATCATCATCATCATCATCAACAACAACAATAACAACAAGCATTAAGCATGAAACATGTGCCAGGCACTGTGCTAAGCACTGGAGATGCAAAGCATGGCAAAAACACTATTCCTGTCCTCAAGGAGTTCACATTCTAAAGGAGGAAACCAACATGCAAACATTTATGTACAAACATGACACAGAGTGTAAATAGGAGGTAACTCAAAGGAAGAAACTAGCAAAGGGAGTATAGAGAGAGGGATGGGAGGCAGGAGATGGAACTGGCAAAGGCTTCTCTTGAAAGCTGGGATTTGAGCTTAGTCTTGAAAAAAGCCAAGGAAGACAGAAAGCAGAGCATTCCAAAACATAAGACAGCCAATGAAAAGACACTGAATTAGGAGGCAGAATGTCATGTACTAAGAACAGCAAGACTGCTAGTGTCTCTGGATCTTAGGTTAACTGAAGTGGGGTAAGGCATAAGAAAACTGGAAAGGTAGGAAGGAGATTGGTGGTAAAGGGCTTTAAAAGCCAAACACAGATTATTTTATATCAGGTGGATTAATGCATAAAGTGCTGGACCTAAAGTTGAGAAAACTCATCTTTCTGAGTTCAAATCTGGCCTCAGACACTGACTAGCTGTGTGACTCTAGGCAAGTCACTGTTTGCCTCAATTTCCTCATCTGTAAAATGAGCTAGAGAAGGAAATGGCAAACTACTCTTAAAAAAACCCCGAATGGGATCACAGAGAGCTGGACATAGTTGAAATGACTGAACAACAACAGGTAATAGGGAGCCACTGGAATTTACTGATTATGTATGTGTGTGACATGGTGAGACCTGCACTCATGTGTGAGGTGAGGAGGCCCTGCACCAGGGTGAAGGCAGTGTGTATGGGGGAGGGTGAATATAAAAGATGTTGTGAAGATAGCAGCAAGACTTGGCAACTGTTTAGATATGTGGAATGAGTGAGGGTGAGGAGTCCAGAATGACACCAAGTTGTAAGCTTAGTTAAGACGATGGTCTTGATTGTAACATGAAAGTTCTGAAGAAAGGAGGATTTGGAAGGGAAAGATAATGAATTCTATTTTGGACATGCTGAATTTGAGATGCCTATGAAAATCAAGATATCCAAAAAGCAGTTGGTGATACAGGACTGGAGCTTAGGAGAAAGAATAGGGTTGGATATATAGATATGTGAATCATCTGCATAGAAATGTTAACTCAGTGATGGAAGCTTATGAGAGCAATAAATCCTTTAGCAACGAGGAAGCCACTATGTCCTGAAACAACCCAGTTTGTTTTTTAAATAGCTTTATTTCTTAGGAAATTTATTCTTTTTTTTTTTTCAAAGGCAGTTGGGGTTAAGTGACTTGCCCAGGGTCACACAGCTAGTAAGTGTCAAGTGTTTGGTCTGAGGCCAGATTTGAACTCAGGTCCTCCTGACTTCCAGGCCGGTGCACTATCCACTGCACAACCTAGCTGCCCCCAGGAAATTTATTCTTACGTGAAAGAAACAATGGAATTCTTATGGGAGAAAGGACTATTCCATCTTAGAATTCATGGCAGAAAAGGACAGGAAAGCCTAGGCATATACAGGTGGGATCTCTCCCCCATTTCATACTTGTTAACCTGAGAATCTTTCCTCCTATTTCACTGAAATAATTGAGGCCATTTACTGAGCATTTTCTACCCCTTTTTGCTCATGTCACATGACTAAGATGCCTTCTACTGCTTTATTATCTCCTTTCATTCCCGTCTAACATGAAAAGGTGGCCCTTTTCCTTGCCAAGGCAACCTGCAATCCTTCTCAATGCATAAATGATCTGCTCCAGCAGAATTCCCCTCTAGCATCCCTACTCTCTTGCTAATCTTCATTTCCTCCTTACTTGATCTGTCCATCTTTATTAGTTATCATCCCATGTCTCTCCTCCCTTCTGTGGCAAGACTTCCATATATAATAGGTGCCTCCACTTAATTTTCTCTCATAAGAATTCCATTGTTTCAACTCCAACAACTAATTAGCTCTTCCTTATTCATTAGAACAAAGTTCAGAATAGTAAATCCCTGGTCACTTCCTCTACCTTTTGAAAGGTGAAATTATTATTAAGGCAAGTCAAGAATTAATATTTACTTGGCTTTGGGCAGAAAGAGTGCTCCAGTAGATGTCTGAATAACAGAAGTGACCCATCATAATTAGATCTCCTGACTCCATGATGATTTATGTGGGTTTACTTTATATCCTGCAACTTTGCTAAGGTTGTGAATTGTTTCAGCTAGTTCTCTTAGGTGATTTTCTAGGGTTCTCTAATAATATTAATCATATCATCTGCAAAGAGTGATAATTTTCTTTCTTCATTGCCTATTATTATTCCTTCAATTTCTTTTTCTTGTTCTATTGCTATAGCTGGCATTTCTAATACAATATTGAATAACAGTGATGATAATGGACATCCTTCCTCCACCCCTGATCTTATTGGAAATGCTTCTAGTTTATCCCCATTACAGATAATGCATGCTCTTGGTTTTAGAGAGATAAACTAATCATTTTAAGAAAAGCTCCATTTATTCCTATGCTTTCTATTATTTTTCATAGAAATGAATGTTGTATTTTGTCTGATTTTTTGCATAATCTTTGTGAAATGTTGCTGAAATCTCTTTGCTAGTATTTTATTTAAAATTTTTGCATCAATATAACATTATGAAAATCAGCCTATAGTTTTCTTTCTGATTTTGCTTTCTTTGGTTTAGGTATCAAAACTATATTTGTGTCATAAAAGGAATTTGGTAGGATTCCTTCTTTACCTATTTTTTTCCCATACAGTTTATATAACATTGCAATTAATTGTTCCTTAAATGTTTGGCAGAATTCACTTTTAAATCCATCTGGTCCTAGGGATTTTTTCACAGGAGGCTCATTTATGGCTTGTTCAATTTCTTTTTATAAGATAGGTTGTTTATTCTATTTCTTCTTCTGTTAGTTTGGTTAATTTATATTTTTATAAATATTAATCCATTTCACTTGGATAGTCAGATTTACTGGCATATAATTGGGTTGCTCACTTCATTTTGCATCAGTTTATGTCTTACCATACTTTTCTGTATGTCATGTTATTCATTATAACTTAGTAATCATTCATTACACTTACATACCGCACTTTGTTTAGCTATTTTCTAATAGACATGTATCTACTTTGCTTATAGTTCTCTGCTACTAAAAATATTTTGGTGCCTATATGACCTTTCATTTTTTTTTAACCATTGACCTTCTTGGGATATATGCCTAGCAGTGGGCATAGACATTTTTGTCATATTTTTTGTATAGTTCCATATTGCTTTCCAGAATAAGTGACTTAGTTCATAGTTCTAAAAAAGCATTAGTGTGCCCATCTTTCCCCAATGTCTTTGACATTGACTAGTCCCATTCTTTTGTCATCGCTGCCAATCTGCTGAGTGAGGTAAAACCTCAGAACTGTTTTGATTTGCATCTCTATTATTATTTGTGAGTTGAAATAAACTTTCATATCGTTGTTTGCAATTCTTCTGAGAATTGTCATATCCTTTGATCACTTTCCTACTATTGGATAAATAGTTTTTGTTCCTATGTATTGCTGATAGTTGCATATATAAAGACACATATACACAAACAAGACCCTTATCAGAGATAGTTGAATGAAAGATTTTTTCCCCAGTTGACTACTCCCCTTTTTAACCTATTTTCATTAATTTTGTTCATGCAAAACCTTTTCAATTTCATGGAATAAAAATTACCTATTTTATCTTTTGTGACCACCTATATTTCTTATTAGTTAAGAACTAATGCTCTGGTCATAAATGTGAAAGACACTTGAGTTGGTACTCTCCAATTTTTTAAAAAATTGTATGACCTAGGTCATAGATCCATTTTGAGCTTATTGTGGTCTATGGTGTAAAATTTTTATCTAAATCTAATTTCTGCCAAACTATTTTCCATACTATTGTGCTGTAAGAAATGAAGGGGATGATTTCAGAAACAAGATAGGAAGACTTATATGAACTGATTTAGAGTGAAGTGAGCAGAACCAAGAGAACAAAGTACACAGTTAACAGCAATATTGTAAAGATATTAAACTGTGAAAGATTTAGTAACTCTGCTCTAAATACAATGATCCACCAGAACTACAAAGGACTAAGGATGAAAAATGCTATCCACCTCCAGATAGAGAACTGATGGTCTCAATGCAGATTCAAGCAT